GGCAATCATGTTGGCAATCCTATTTTTGTCAACAGCCGTATGAAAAAGTGTTGCTGAGTTTTGTCCAAACCAGTCCCTTAGGTTTTGAAGCTGTGATGTTCTTCTTCTGCCTGGATCTCGTTTGCCTTCAATTTTTCCCTGGAGGATTAAGTGAAGGATGCTGTATTTTTCTGGGTGTCGCATCACATGTCCAAAATACTCCAACTTTCACTTTTTAATGGCTTTGATTATTTCCCTTTGCTTTCCCTTTGCTCTTTATCTACTATATTGTAGTATAGCCTGGACAGGAATATACACTGCTCAAAAAAATAAAGGGAACACAAGCAGAAGACATCCAAGATCTGAATGAATGAAATAGCCTTATTAAATACTTTGTTCGTTACATACAGTAGTTTTGTGTTCCCTTTAGTTGTTTGAGCAGTGTATAAACTACTGTATGTATAGAACAAAGTATTTAATAAGGCTATTTCATTCATCCAGATCTCGGATGTCTTCTGCTTGTGTTCCCTTTATTTTTTTGAGCAGTATATTTAAACCAGGGGTGGGTTCTAAATTTTTTTACTACCGGTTCTGTGGGCGTAGCTTACTTTGTGGGCATGGCTTGGTGGGGGGTAATGTGACTGGATGGGTGTGGCCAACTTTTTTTTTTTAACTTTTAAAAGCATTTTTTCTACAACCTTAAGAGGTTGCAGAAAAAATTGTTTTTAAAAGCCTCCGACGATTAGGCAATTCAGCTGGGATTGCCAGAAGCTTTTAAAGGCATTTTTTTCCCTAAAACCTCTTCGGCTGAAGAGGTTGCAGAAAAAAATGCTTTTAAAAGCCTCTGATGATTAAGCAACTCAGCTGGGATCGCCAGAGGCTTTTAAAAGCGTTTTTTTCCTACAACCACTTTGGCTGAAGAGGTTGCAGAAAAAATGCTTTTAAAAGCCTCTGATGATCAGGCAACTCAGCAGGGATCATCAGAGGCTTTTAAAGGCATTTTTTTTCCTACAACCTCTTCGGCTGAGGTTAAAAGCCTCTTAGGATCCCAGCTGAGCCACACAATCATCAGAGTCTTTTTTTTACTTTTAAAAGCATTTTTTCGGCTGAAGAGGTTGTAGAAAAAATGATTTTACAAGTAAAAAAAAAGCCTCTGATGAGGTAGGTGGGGTAAGTGAGCGGTGACTAGGCTGGGGACTGGTTTGGGGGCGTGGCCAGCCAATGTTATTACCGGTTCTCCAAACTACTACAAATTTTTAGTACCAGTTCTTGTGAACCGGTACGAACCGGGAGCAACCCACCACTGATTTAAACCATCTCTAGCAAACTCCTTCAGAAACTCCTTTAACAAAAGATAATGATAAATTAAGCCCAAACCTAGGTACAATTTGAAAAGGAACGAGAAATCCAATACTTAAACCTTTTACCAATCCTGGAGCACAAGACTAGCTAGTTAATCATGCTGCATTCCTGTATGGGCACAAAAATGAACAAGAAATTCACTTATAAAAAGGAATGAAACCAAATCTGGTTACAAAAAGGAATCTTTTCGGGAAAGGAAAATATATGAAATGGAGGAAGCCACAATCACACATAGATTTTCATATAAAATCAATACAGTGAGCCTAGCTCAACTGGGTACATATTACTTCTTTAAAAAGCCCCTGGGTTTCATTGTGTTCAGGATTCATTGCAGATGGTATGATTGGAAACAGATAATCTAGATCTCCTGCCGGACTACTTGCAGACAAGTCTGACACAGTGACATATTCCTCCTTCTTTTTCCCAGAGTAATAGCCTTAGTTTTATAAAATGTGTAAAATAAATGAAAACTGGTTTCTCTGGGAAGATCAACCGCTGCCTTGCCTAGTTAAGAAAAACAATCCATCTCTGATATCCAGGCTTTAGGTGGCAGATCCTTTGTGGTGGTGTAGCAATAGCACTTAGACTTATATAGCACTTCACAGTGCTTTACAGCCCTCTCTAAGCGGTTACACAGTCAGCATATTGCCCCCAACAATCTAATGAGCCGAGGTGGCACAGTGGTTAGAGTGCAGTACTGCAGCTACTTCAGCTGACTGCTAATTCAGCAGATCAGCGGATCAAATCTCACCGACTCAAGGTTGACTCAGCCTTCCATCCTTCCGAGGTGGGTAAAATGAGGACCCGGATTGTTGGGGGCAATATGCTATTTAGTATACTGTCTTTGGTGTAAGCCGCCCAGATCCTCGGAGAGTAGGTGGCATAGAAATATGACTAATAAATAAATAATAAATAAATAAATAAACAATCTGGGTCCTCATTTTACCGAACTTGGAAGGATAGAAGGCTGAGTCAGTCAGGATCAAACTCCTGGAGCGAGCAGTGAGTTTACAAATAAGTAGTAGTAACAGAGTTGGAAGGGACCTTGGAGGTCATTTAGTCCAACCCCCTGCTCACACAGGAGACCTGTACTAGGGATTCGAACCACCGACCTTTCTGAACGACAAGCTCAGTGTCTTAGCCACTGAGCCACCTAGTCAGGCTGTTAACTTGTTATACTGCATTCTAACTACTGCATCACCATGGCTGTAGTTAAGTTATTGGAATAGAATTGGGAAGACACGGGTTCTAATCAAACATTGGAATTTGCTAGCATGAGATGTGATGCTAGCTACAGCTTGGCTGGTTTCAGAAAAGAGACGGACCAATTCAGGGAAGACATGGGAATCAGTGGGAATTAGCCTGGATGGCAGTGTCATCTGGATGGCAAGTCATCTGCTGGAAGACTAGTGGGCCTCCTTGTATTGCTGGTTGGCCACTGTGAGAACAGACTGCTGGACTAGATGGACCAGGGATCCAAGCTAGCAAGACACTGTTTATGTATTCTCAGTCACAGAAGCTCACTGGTTGAATCTGGCTCAGTCAGTTTTTCTCAGCTCTGTTACGGAAAAAATAGATATAATTGCATAAATAAATAAAATACTGAAATCAGAAGTTAATGAGTGGGTAAACCCACCATCCTGGCAACACTTTGGCTCAATTTAGTTTTCCCTAGTTGTGCCATGTTATAAATGGGATGGGCTATATTGGAAAAGTTTTTAGGGAAAACAATAATTCCATTTATTCAGACGTCTCAGCATGCAGCCAACTTGCCAGATGCTTTAGAGAGCATTATTGTGCCATACCTCAACTAAGGGTCTACATGTTAAACAGTTTGCTGTGTGTTTGTGCAGTATGTAAATCAGCCTGTAACGTACGTCTTTAAATCTACCCATTCATAGGATATGTATATACTGGCAGACCTTGAATGAATCATTATTTCATAACCTATTTAACTCACAAGGTTGTTGCTCCAATGATGGCATCAGAAAACCTTTCTCATATAGAATATGCTGCACCAAAGTCCCCAGGGCAAGAGCAATATATAAATAAACAAGGAGGCTAAGGAAATGTCATACTCAGAATAAGCAGACTTAAAATTTGTAACACGGGCAGAATGCAAAAATATATATATATATGTTCAGGTACTTGTACTCAGAACTCTGTTTAAGATTTCTCCTTCATATTCACTTTTTTTCAGATGGATAAAATGGTTATTAGCTTCTGTTGTTATTTAAAATTCCATCTTTTAATGTCTTTTCTCTTCCTTTTTGTGTTAGTGGACTCACTGGAATGAAGGGTGGGGAAGGAAAGAAGAAATGAAATCAACAAAAATCATTTGGGGATTTCTCAGTCTGTTCCTACCCACTGCACTGCATGTAAAAAGCTGATAAAGGACGCTCAAGGACAATGCTACTGAGAATCTTCTTTTTCCCCCCTCTTCCTGACGAAGGAGAGAAAAAAAATCAACATTTTTCTAGTTAATTCTCTCAGAGTTGCCATGCCATTTTCCAACCAATTTTCATGATGAAGCCTTAATTGTGGAAAGGCATATTTTCTGCTGCCTACAAATAGGATGTACAAGCATTGCTACATTTTGTGCCTTTCAGAATTTCCATAGATTTTAGAAATGACACTTATTTAAAAGATGACGTTTTTCTTAAGATATTTAATTTATAGATTCCAGAACTAAAAGAATCAGCTCCCTGCAAGAGTCAAAAGTCACTGATAAACACAGAAGGCACAATTTATTTATTAGTGAATTTATATGGCTACCCACTAGCATATGTTTTTGGAGTGGTTCATAGATCTAGAAAAAAGTAAACTAATTATGTTTAAAAATAAAACACAATTTTAAAAAATGCAAAAACCAGGTACTGCATAAAAACCAACTTTCTAACCAAAGTGCATACGCTAACATGCTAAGGAACATATGAATGAGGTAGAAAAAAATCTGTTTTATAACAGGTATACAAGTTGGCTGATGTTACTCTGTTGTGTAAAAAGATATGCTGGGGTTCCGTTCTTTATAATTCACATCATATGTTTTTCTTTTAAAGAAAGTGGTTTTGTATGAGTGTGCATTTGGGAATCGGTGTCGACTCCTGGTAATTGCCTGGATGCAGTTTTTGTGGCAGCTTTTTCAGAAGTAGTTTGGCATTGCCAAACCTCTTCCTAGAACTGAGAGAGAATGTCTGACTTAAATTCACCCAGCAGAGTTCACACCAAAGGCAGGACTGGATGCTATCATCATCTGGTTTCTGGCTTAGGTGTTTAACCTTACATCAAACTGATTTTTGCAATGATAAACAGGTGTGATGAAAAGAAAGATAGATTATAGTAATGCCCTACTTGAAATACCTTTTTTCATCCCCTGTTCACAATGTTAACAGTGGTAGACCTGAAAACTTTATCTGCTCTACTGAAGCCTTTGGAATGACTATGTTGCCAAGTAGGCAAATAGAATTGCTGTATTGGTCACTAAATATTCAAAAACATTCTTTCCATCTGTAGTCTCTGCCAATGTCCCAGTGCTGGCCATTACATCCAACAGAAGTAATTCTTCCTTGTGACTGTGGCTCCACTCTTGTACAGGAGACCTGTTCTTGGATGTGTGCTGCATCTGTGGTACTGAACCTGCAAATGCCTATGTTCCCTAGGGCTTGGTGGAGCTTCGGCTTCTCCTTCTGACCCAGGAGAAGGACGATCTGCCTCCTGGTGGTCTGAGCCTGGAGCTGCGCCGTGTGGAGCCTGTGGCACATCTGTCCCTGAGCCGTGCAAAGCCTGTGGCATGTCCAGTTCTTCTTCGTCTTCTGACGAGGAGTCTTCCAGAAGAGATATCATACTGGCCCCTATTCCCAGATGTATGAGGGGCTTGTTGCAGATACTCAGTGGTGAGCGAAAGGCACTCTGCATGTTTAGAAACACATCTCTGTTCTTTCATGTATTTGGGGGCTCAGCCCATGAATTGACATCAGTTTTGTGATTTAACCCTGGCTCAGATTAAATCCTGAATGTCCCTTTAATTCCTTGACAGTTTGTTTCAGTCTGTACAATGAAATACGAAAAGGCTCAAAATTTCCTGGGTCTGCAATGTAAAATTTTTTGCAGCTGTTTAGCGGGAAGCCTAAGGCGTAGGATATGTGACTCAGCATATGTATGCAGCATGTGGCTCAGCATAGGTGAAATATTGCTCAAATAATACTGGTATTCAGAGGTAGAAATCTAAGCTACATGGAATGTATGATTTCCAATCCCATTGCAAATTCCTAAGCAGCCATTGTAACATGGACAATTTAATTATTTCCTCAATTGTCTGGGTATGTCTTCAACAATTGTTTACATTCTTTTTTATCGGCCAATCAGCTGTTTGAACAGGCAGGGATCTTAAGCAACAGCGGGGTTCATCCTGTGCCCAGTTATTAATCATGGGTTATAAGCAGCAATGTGTGTAACTAATACTATAGCTTGTGACTTCATATGTTGTGTGAACTCATCCCAAGGATTCAAGTCTTTCCTTTTGTTTCTTGATTCAGTGCTTTCTGCTTCCAGGTGAACATGGCAACTTGGGCAGTAATCATTCAGTATTTTTTTCCATAGAGTAAAGTGAGTAAAATATATCCTGGGTTCAAAAGGAGGTTAGTTCTGATGCAGTCCTTCTTTGCCACGTTCAGTATTTTTACACTATTTATACTAAAAATATAGAGGTTGCATTCTTCAAATGTTGGGGTAAAATAGTATTTCTTTTCTTGTTCCAGTAGCATAATGGCCAGTAATAGATTTAACCAAGAAGCTCAGATTGTGTCAGAATCCCTCTCATCCAAGGTCTTTAGACTCTCTAAAACAACACTTATACGTCTCTTGGTTAGCTGGGAAAAGTTAAATTAGCTCACTGGTTCACAGAAAAGACATTTAGAAAAGAAAGTCTCCACCCTAATGATGTGAAAGATAAATGGAGTTCTAAAATGAACATAATCCAGTTGCTAGAGCTTTTGTAGCTTTATTTCTTAATGTTTCAATAAATCTTGTTAAAGAAGACTGTGGGAATCTTGCTTTCAGCTGTGTCAGCTACCAAGAGCCTGATGTCAGCTTTCAAACAGAAACTGAGTCTGAGGATTAACCCACCTTGTTTTGCCCATCCCACTTTCATTAGATTGTTCTCTTGCAAGAGGCAAATGATGAACTATTATTGCAGGTTCATGGCTAAAGAATTTATTAATTATATTCCCAAATACTTGAGGCTTTGTATGGTTAAAAACAAAGCATAATCTTCAGATTCCCTGTTTACTGGGGACCAGCAGTGGATGCATAAATAAACACTATGCAAATAATTCAGCATAAATTATTGTTAAAACAAATGAACAGAGTACTCTTTGTGAAAAATTAACATGGCTCATTTTTCTTTCTGTATGGATTTCTTTTCAACAGAATCAATTTTTTTCTTCTTTTTCTTGCATTATGAGAAAGGGGGAAAATCACATCAAGGAGACATTCTAAATTCAACATTAGCTACTGAAACCAAACAAGGCTGAAGGCTGTGGGAATAGCATTAAGCAGCAGAATATGCCTACAGAGAAGTGGGTTTCTGGAAACAGCTGCTTTTTTATGAAGAAAACCTTCATTAGGAAATCACATTTAGACAAAAAAAAAATGCTAAGAATACATGATTCAGCTGTATTCTAAGTAAATTAATCAAAGGAATGGCATCTCTTCTATTATCAATGGAAGGAGGAATTGTTGAAACAAGAAACAGAACATGGAACTAATAGTAGCTCTGAGAAAATCAGTCTAACCAATTAGAAGCACAGTAGTAGGTGCGTCAAAATGGTAATGCATAGCTGCCCAATAGGCACTTTCACTGTATCTATTGCTCCAGAGGGCATAGGATAAATGATATAACAAGGTGAGAAATTCTGAAGTGGTAAAGGTAAAGGTAAAGGTTTGCCTCGCACATATGTGCTAGTCGTTCCCAACTCTAGGGGGCGGTGCTAATCTCCGTTTCAAAGCCAAAGAGCCAGCGCTATCCGAAGACCTCTCCGTGGTCATGTGGCCAGCATGACTAAATGCCAAAGGCGCATGGAACACTGTTACCTTCCCATCAAAGATGGTCCCTATTTTTCTACTTGCATTTTTTAATGTGCTTTCGAACTGCTAGGTTGGCAGAAGCTGGGACAAGTTACGGGAGCTGACCCCGTTATGCAACACTAGGGATTTGAACCGCTGAACCACCAACCTTTCGATCAACAAGCTCAGCATCTTAGCCACTGAGCCACCACGTTCCTGCCCTGAAGTGGAGTTTATCACAAAAATGAAAGAAGTGTTTTCGCTTGGGGAGACACATAGGTGTGTAGCCTGCTTTCCATGTATAGCTTTTGATTTTGATGCCTACTGGTGTATTATATCTGCTGCTGCTCCAGTGTGAGATGCATCTGCACATGAAAAACAAGTTTGACATCGCCTTCAATGAAGCAATATGCTTAGTGATAGGTTTCTCAAATCTACACCAATTGCTGGCATTGTCCACCTAAGATCAGGAGAGAGGTAGTAGCAGATGCTAAGAGAACTAAGCAAGAGAATGATCCTTGATATGCTCTGAATGGGCCTATGCCCAAGTATGCCAAGATCTAAGATTTAAGAAAAGCTTTATGGCATACTTCATACTTAAGTGGTCAGTAGAAGGGGTGTGCATAAGTGCACTAACATGCCTATCATCCCTGTCATTGTATTTTCTTTCTTTTATTCTTGTTCTCGTTTTTGTTTGACAAATTCTAATAATAAATAAATAAAATAAATAAGGAACAAACATTCTTGAGGGTATGTAAGAACAAAATCTAATTAACAGATGGAGGAAAGAGACCATCGAGCAAGGAATAATATTAAAGAAGGATATGACTGAAGGAACCAGTAGCCCTTATAATACTTGGAGAACCCTGAATAGGTTGAGAATTGGAGTGCCTAAGTGTAAAACCAATAAGTGGAGGCTCTTAGCAGATAACAACATACTGTGTGAATGTGGAGAGAAGCAAAGCCAAGCCCATCTGCTGATATGTTGACTATTACCAGAAATATGTACCGATAATGACTTATTTTTGGCCAAGGACAAAGCTAAGAAGTTGGCTTCATCTGGCAGTTTAAAGTTTGATCTAGATATGGAAAAGGGAGAGGGGGAGGGAGAGGGGAAATGGAAGGAGGAGGAGAAGAGGAGGAGGAGGAGGTGTTATATCACACAAGGCTGCAGCTTGATAAAAGATAGTTTGCGTTTGTATTACTGCTCAATAATAAACAATTTGTTCACTCTTAGTTTTCTCTTTTGACTCCAGTCTTTTGAAAATTTTCAGAAAAAAAAACGTTTTCAATTATGTGTGAATGTTAATATATGCATTGATTATCCTAATTTTTCTTATACTGTGCTCTGCTTTAAAGCAGTTTTTTATAGAGAATTTTTGGTACGTATTTGTCTAATTGTATTTTCTATGTGCATTTTTTTCTTTACATATACTTTTGTTACATTTTTTGAGTTGTGAACCAAGTCAAAATAATGTGGAATCCAGAAGCACAATTCCAGATTATTTTGAATTTTTATCATGTTCACAATGAATAGATTTTCTGATGGGCTAAATTTCTCATTTATTCTTGGTGATCTAATTTTGCAATTTGTGTTGTACATGACAGTGTTCTTAGCTATTAGTAGAAAAAATCATAGATCTGAAATTACAATAGTGCATTGGTTTGCAGTGAGTTTTACTAATGCAAATTCAAAATAGTATTGAACAAATGAAAGATATGATGGGAGAGAAAGTTTTTCTCCTATATTTTTCTAGGCCTTTATATGTATAAGTAGCACCTGACAGGACTATCACACGAACAGTACAAAAAAGGATACTCTTTATTCCTTATGATGCATTAGATGGGTAATGTAAAGATATATAGAGAAATCCTGGTCTGATGAATATATAGAGCAATTAACTAATCAAAGCTAAAGGTCTTTAATAAGGCAAATCAAATAATCATAACAGATTTGTAATATGAAAAAAAACATTTATAAATAAAAAACCAAATAGGCACGGAGGTTTGCAGAGAGATTATGAAAGTAGAAATCCAATTCACCAGAAAATTAGTGTGAAAATTTATGAAGGCAACAGCTAAAAATTCGCTGTTGCGAAATTCGCTGTTTCATTGAATCTGAAGGAATTTGGTCTTCAGATTCACAGAAACCTACGCTTGCCTGGTTCCTTTGTTCTTCACTGTTTCATTTTATAAATGGAAGTAACTATGAATACTGGAGCTGGTGAGATGAGTGGATGGGGAGAAACAAGCATAAGCCTTTTCATGAACCCCTTGTCAGTATTGTAGACTTTCAGGAGCTAGAGTATAAATGCGAAGTCTGGCAGCTGAGTGACAGCTAGAAGACCAGAAGCAGAAAAATATGACAAAAGGGTCATGTGGCAACATGCCTTGAAGGATGAAGGACGGTGGAGGTGCCAGTTCCATTGGTCCTTCTTTCCTCAATTTCTGCCAGCTGGTAGAATGAGGCTTTTTGCAAAAGTTTTTAAGTGGTGTCATCTATTACCCACTCATCCCTTGTCTCTGTTTTAGCCAGCCAGGCCCTGGAGGCTTGAATAGAAGACGTACAGTAAGGAAGGGATAAGAGAATTGCCTTCTTTCCTATTGAGGCAAAGGATGAAATACAACAGCTTTGGGTACTGTGTATTTCTAGGGCCAGGCACCCAGTTTTCAAAACAAAATATTTTTTTTTCACTTTGGAGAGCTAATTGCAAAGGGGGTTGAAGAAAGTAAGAGGGAATTACAGCTACAACTGTGTGTTAAAGTGTGGTCTAAGGATTCCTAGGAATCCTCCAAACCCTTTCGGGGGTCTAGAAAATCAAAAATATATACCAGATATTGAAGATATTTGCAAAAAAACTTAAAGCAATGCCCCTCTTCTCATTATTTTTTCATTCATTAAAAGTTAGGTTTTTCATGAAAAATATTTTATTAATGTTAACTATCTAATGGGTTAAGACTGTAAATTTTGATAAATATAATCAATACAAACAAAAGCTCTTCTGGGGTCCCCCATAATTTTTAAAAGAGGGAAGGGGTTTTGAGAGCAGAAAATTGAAGAAACACTGAGTTAGACTAACTGTTCACACCCAAGCTTAAATGTAACACATTACAATATCAATAGACTGGTTCCAAACTTCCATATCTGGAATACAGAAAAAGAGATTTGTTGATCTTAACACCATCATTCCATAAAATGATGTGAGACTTTTTTTTTGATAAAGTCCTCTTTAGCACCTTTCATCTTGCATCTATCCATACTGAATTATTTCATCTTGTCCATTTATTCATTTCCAGTTTTCATGTGCTTAAATTTAAAAGAATAGAATCCATAATATACAGAGGGTTTTATTTGCTACAGAAGATCCAAAACTATACAACTTGATTTCTTCAACAACGCTACAAAGCATCATATTGGGAAGGCTGATTACATTATATTATTATATTATTTTGGTCATTGCTTCCAGCAATATAATATATTTAGGATAGAATGTATAAATGTGTGTGTGTGTGTGTGTGTGTGTGTGTGTGTGTGTGTGGAATGAATGTTATAGTCTCTTCTACTACCTATGAATTTTGAGAATTGAAATGCTAAATATCTTGTCCAATCAGATTTCCATATGGAAGATTGAAGAAAATAATCTAAACTTAAATTTGAATGAGAAATGTCACTTCTGATGATTTACAGAATCTTCCATAGGCAAGATCTCAGCTACTTCCCATTAGAGGAAAAGGCAGAAGGATCTATATATATAATCAGTAGCTTGGAAATATAAAATGTATGCCACTTTATAGTACTCCAGTACAGTCTATTTATCTATAAAAATGCCATAAATAGACGAGGACAGTATTATCTATCAAAATCCCATAACTCTTGTAAGAACCTACAGCTGAATATGTATTTCTTTTAGGAAGAAAGTAACTGTCTGGTTGTTTCTGCATATAAGGTAGTTTTCTCAAAGTTAATATTATTCAAAATAGTTGATAGGCATTGGCTCTTCATTTGCATCATGTAGATTGTGCTTGCTTTGTGGGAAAGTGGGCATAGGAATTGCAAAAGACGGCAATTGGAGAAAATTGAAGAAATCTGCAGCTACTTTCAGAATTATATAGAGTTTTTATCTGAAAGTATTCTGGCAACGTAATTGTTCTGAACTGTGGAAGGAGGGATGTTTTTATTTAAATGAGAACTAAAGACATTTCTTCCTACCCCTAATGGCAATCATATTTTTATTTTTATAATTTATTTTTAAATATAATTTCCTGGAAATAAATTATTTTTATTTAGCAGAAAACAAACAAGTGTCCTGATAAGTTGATAATTGTACAACTTTTAAAAGGAATGCCAAAGAGGAATTTTCTTTTAATTATGTGTATTTTGTGTATAGATATGTACATATTGTATGTGTGTGTGTGTATACATACACACATGCATGTATATATATGATATCTTCAATTTTTTGGAACAACATATTCTGCTCCTACTAGCAAAGAGTTATAAAAAAAAAAAGCAAGAATCTAAAACTTGCTGATTGCATGGGAATTCCTGTGATGGGCTCACTGATTTCTAGAGACATATTCAGTAATTGCTACATAAACACACTTTTATAATTCACAGTCTTGATTTTTTTTTTTTTATTGTAGATGACATCTGGAATTCTTGGGAATCCAAATTCTGAACTAAATCTTTTATTTTGCGAGTTTTGTCTTCTGTTTTAGAAGCATAGCATATATACAAGCCTAACAATGCCAACAAAATATTAAATGTATTCTAGAATCATAGGGCCTATCCATTTGCATATCCCTTTATAAGTAGTCTGAAATTTTCAGAATATTTTATTATGGCTGCTAGGTTGCCAATCCCCAACTAAGGAGAATAGAATGGAATGGAATGGAATGGAATGGAATGGAATGGAATAGAATAGAATAGGAATAGAATAGAATAGAATAGAATAGAATAGAATAGAATAGAATAGAATAGAATAGAATAGAATTCTTTATTGGCCAAGTCTGATTGGACACACAAGGAATTTGTCTTGGTGCATACGCTCTCAGTGTACATAAAAGAAAAGATACATTCATCAAGAATCATAAGGTACAACACTTAATGATAATCATAGGAAACAAATAAGCAATCAAATCATATTAGGAAACAGTCAGTATAAATTGTAAGGATACCAGCAACAAGGTTACAGTCATACGTGGTAGGAGATGGGTGATAGGAACGATGAGAAGATTAATAGTAATGCAGACTTAATAACTAGTTTGACAATGTTGAGGGAATTAGTTGATTAGCAGAGTGATGGTGTTCTGGAAAAAACTGTTCTTGTGTCTAGTTGTTCTGATGTGCAGTGCTCTATAGCGTCGTTTTGAGGGTAGGAGTTAAAACAGTTTATGTCCATGATGCGAGGGGTCTGTAAATATTTTCACAGCCCTCTTTTTGACTCGTGCAGTATACAGCTCCTCAATGGAAGGCAGGTTGGTAGCAATTGTTTTTTCTGCAGTTCTAATTATCCTCTGAAGTCTTTGTCTGTCTTGGGTTGCAGAACCAAACCAGACAGTTATAGAGGTGCAGATGACAGACTCAATAATTCCTCTGTAGAACTGTATGAGCAGCTCCTTAGGCAGTTTGAGCTTTCTTAGTTGGCAAGAAAGAACATTCTTTGTTGTGCTTTTTTAATGATGTTAGGTGTCCATTTTAGGTCTTGAGATACGGTAGAACCTAGAAATTTGAAGGTCTCTACTGTTGATACTGTGTTGTCTAGTATTGTAAGAGGTGGAAATATGGAAAGGTTTCTCCTAAAGTCCACCACCATTTCTATAATTTTGAGTGTGTTCAGTTCCAGATTGTTCTGGTCGCACCACGAGGCTAGTTGTTCAACCTCCCATCTGTATACGGATACATCATTGTCTCGAATGAGACCGATCACTGTTGGGTCATCTGCGAACTTCAGTAGTTTAACAGATGGATCGTTTGAGATGCAGTCATTGGTATATAGAGAGAAGTGGAGAGAGCACACAGCCTTATGGGGCCTCTGTGCTAATTGTACAGGTATTTGATGTGATTCTGCTTAGTTTCACCTGCTGCTTCCTGTCTGTTAGGAAGCTTATGATCCATTTACAAGTATGTTCAGGTACTGCTAGGTGGTTTAGCTTAGTTAGAAGAATGTCTAGAATGATGGTGTTGAATCCTGAACTAAAGTCTACAAAGAGGACCCTTGCGGAGGTTTTTGGAGATTCAAGATGTTATAGCATGTAGTCCAGAGCCATATTAACAACATCATCTGTTGATCTATTTGCTCGATATGCAAATTGCAAGGGGCCTAACAGCGGATCCGTGATGATTTTCAAGTGGGACAGCACTAGCCTTTCAAAGGTTTTCAGGACTACAGATGTTAGAGCAACTGGCCTGTAGTCATTCAGTTCCTTGAGGGTGGGCTTCTTCGGCACTGGGATGATAGTAGTGTGTTTGAAACAAGAAGGAACATAGCACATCTCTAGTGATTTATTGAACATTTTTTATTTATTTTTATTTATTTATTGGAGTTGATGGTTATGCCTTTCAAATCATCAGAAGCTCTTCTGTTCACCTTATACATATTTTCATCTACTGTTGTACAGTTCAGCATCTTGATGAAATAAGTAGGAAGGCTGATAGGTAAAAGAAGGAGTGAAGAAAAGCTATAGCTATTACAATGCTTTTCCAGCACTATACTTTCCAGCAAGAATAGACACAGGTTTTAGAACAGGATCAGGTAAGCATCCACTGGGGTGATTTACATTAAAAAATAAATTGAAAGCTAGTATACTATAAAACATATGCCTTAAAATTAAACAGTATTTCTAGTTACTTTTCTGGGTCTGGCATAAACCCAGAAGCACTCTTAGAAAGTGTAATGGTAGGTGACTATACCCCAGTGTTTTCGAAATGGATCCATCTGATTTTGCCCCTGAAGATGAAATCAGATTAAGTGGTAGAAACCAACTTTGGTAGCTATAGGGTGGGAGTAACCTTATTATTTTGTTTTCTGGACAATGGATATTTTGAAGAAATCGGCAGCTTGTGAGAGTGTCTATTACATGCTCCCTGTACGGCAGATGTGTTCATTGCCCCAGAATAGATTTACAAATGTTCTAGCTTGTAGGTGCCACATCTGCAACACACCTGTTCATGTTCTTTAATTAAGCAGTTGTATATATAGATTGCCAGAATTCCAGGTTATGTGTAAGATAGGCAAGATATCTGTTCCAGTACTCTGCACTGGCTGGTAAGTTGCATGAATGAAGTAAGCCTGAATCTAATTTTTTCCTCTGTGTCTGTTGTAGTAGCCGGCAAGCCATCTGCATGTACAAAAAAAAATGTCCAGGGTTACATGTTGTGATGCAAAACCTCTCTACTTCCCTTCTGCTTCTCCTTCCCCATTTTTCATCGTGTTTGGTTTTTAAACAAAAATATTTTCTGATATTTGTTTAAAAAAAGAGATCCACATCACTGTTTTATCTGATGCATTTATCTCTTACAATCTCCATTCATCCCAACCTGTTGCCTACTCCCAATGCCCTGCTGAACTTGTTTGTTCCTGAATGTCCTCCTTTCCTGTCCTTAACCAGGCGTCGGGCGAATTGCAGGAGGGAAGAAACCTGGACTCTGTTCCCTTTGTTTAAAGTCACCAGGTTAGTAAATGGAGTGGTTGTATTAATGGGTGGGGTAGTCTTGTCAGCTACTCTTCCTTTCATCCTTCACCAAACCATTTACCCTCAACACCATTCTCTTCATTGCAACCACCTCATGAAGCACTTGGATCCCTATTCTACACTGATGGTTTTCTAAAACTTGTTTAGATTCTTGAAACTGTTTCTGTAGAAAAGTAACCTGTGTGGTTTGTTGATTTTGATGGGGAGGTTTTGAATATGCCAAGGAGAGGATTTATCATTTTATGGAAGTCACGGTGTGAAATAGATTGTCTTAAGCAGGTTCCTGAGGCATTCATGTCCAGGCTTGTTCAATGTTATTGATATATAACTGTGTGTCTCAGAACCAACAAGAATGTATTCTTATATTTGGTAGCTCTACTCTGCTGATGTTGTTAGTTTGATGTTTCTGCAGATTCTAAACTGTCCTTAGAGAGCTTAGTTTTACCCATGTCTCTGAAACTCTCACCTTATTGCTTTTACCTGTTTTTTGGCCTTGTCCTCTAAACCTAGTTAACACTACTTCCAGAATGAGAAATGAAAGTGGATTCCACTTGTTCCCTTTGGTGGAACTCACGCTCTTGGGCTTCCACTCTTCAGTGGAAAACAAGAAGGATCATCTACTAATTATTTTAGAATCATTTAAGATTTGATTTAAGAATCATCTTAGAATCAATTTCGTGTGGATACATTTATTTGTGAAGGTCCACAAGAAAAAGAGATGAAAGAGAAGATTAATTACACTACCAACCCAAAAGTGGGTTTTAAGGAGCACTAGCTACTTCTAGTTATTGATCCATCACAGTATTTATTTGTGAAACAGGTCTGCTGCATTTATACTTTGCCTGGCACAATAATGTGTGAATGAGCTATGGTTAAAGCTATGCTGGGAGATCTGTGGCTGAAAGCCTTTTAGAGCTGAAAGGGTACAGAGGGATAAAATATGTTGAACTATCCCCAGTCTAATTCTATACATCCTAGCTCTAGCTGCTGTTTTTCCTCACAAGCAAGAGTGGAAATTCCAGGAAAAGTAGAAAGAATAATATTTAGTAGAGAAATTATTAGCAGGTGGGAATGGTTTAAGTCTGAGAAGTCAGCATAGAAGGAAGAACTAAGTAAGCCACCTTCCTTGGTGGTGCTGCAGCTGATTCCCAATATCCTGCAGCTACTTTTAATTTCAAACAAAGAAGTGTACATAAGAGATGACATCATTGCAGTCTAGCAGGTTGGACTGATACTAAACTGGCAAATCAGCCAGTTTAGTAGTTAAGGCACCAGATTAGAAGTTGAAAGATCATGAGTTCTTGTCCCACCTTAGGCATGAAAGCCAGCTGGGTGATCTTGGGCCAGTCACTCTCTCTCAGCCCAAGCCATTTCAGAGCACTGTTGTAGGGAAAATAGAAGAAGGAAGGAATATTAGGTTTGCCACCTACTATATATAGAAAGATGGATAAAAGTATAATATTTTTTCTGATTGACCAATTTTCTTTTATACTTACATAAGTTGAAGGAAAGGTGGGGTATGAGCACTATATGGTCATTTCCGGTACTAATGCAAAATTACTGTTTGGCCTGTTGCCTTTTGACTGTAAATGTGGTACAATCTAAAAAGCTGTTGTAGGGGAATGGAAATTGTGTGTTTTGGTGCCATGTACCATTTCTTATTGAAAACATTTAAAAACTTGGCATGAAAGTTTCTGAGTTTGGCTACAGCATCTTCCTTACCGATATTATCAAATCTTTAATCTAGCTGGATTTATTCTGAAAGACTCATTCGTTAGCAAAATAACTGTGGCTGAGCCTATTGGGTAGACTTACAAAACAACAATAAAAATATAATAGGAAAGTTAAAAGTATTGCTGTCCTGCAGTTGTTTTTGTCACTGTGATAGATTTTATTTCTGTGGCAAGGGCCAGTGTTGAACATTCTGGATAAAGAATACTTTGATGTGAAACAGCTGCCAAGAAAGAGCTTTAATTTATTTAAATTAAGGGAAAATGGAGTCTAAAAGAAAAATCCTACAGGCAAGGAGTAAAAACATGCACTATCATTATTTATCATTAATGTCAGTCTCACAAATACTGGCACCACCTAAAGGCCATTTAGTCATAGAATATTTTTTTTCCTAACTGGAAATAGTTAGGAAAATAGTCCATATATAGTATGCTTACTATTTTGAAGGAGAATCAACTGTGCTGGGCCCTCTCCAGAGGTGGGTTTCAGCAGGTTCTCACCAGTTCTGGAGAACCGGTAGCAGAAATTTTGAGTAGTTCGGAGAACTGGTAGTAAAAATTCTGACTGCCTCTGCCCCAGAGGTGGGTTTCAGCAGGTTCTGAACAGTTCTGGAGAACCGGTAACAGAAATTTTGAGTAGTTCAGAGAACCAGTAGTAAAAATTCTGACTGGCCCTGCCCCCATCTATTCTCTGCCTCCCAAGTCCCAGCTGATCTGGAGGAAATGGGGATTTTGCAGTAACCTTCCCCTGGAGTGGGGCGGGAATGGAGATTTTACAGTATCCTTCCCCTGCACACCCACTAAGCCACGCCCACCACACCATGCCACACCCACCATGCCACACCCACAGAACCAGTAGTAAAAAATTTTTGAAACCCACTACCGTCCTGCCCCCATCTATTCTCTGCCTCCCAGCTGATTGGGAGGAAATGGGGATTTTGCAGTAACCTTTCCCTGGAATGGGGAAGGAATGGAGATTTCACAGTATCCTTCCCCTGCCATGCCCACCAAGCCACACTCACCAAGCCATGCCACACCCACCAAGCCTCACCCACAGAACCGGTAGTAAAAAAATTTGAAACCCACCACTGGGAGAAACCTCTCCTATATGGTATTAGGAGCAAAGTGACTGGCTGGTCATTTCTTATGTCTAAACCTCTAGGCCAGAGCTAATGGATTATAAACACTCACTTAGGAGTGAAAGCCCACTGGATGATGTTGGGCCAGTCGATCTGTCTCAGCCCAAATGGCCTTACTGGGTGGTTGTTATGGGGAAAATAGGAGGAAGAAGCAGCTATGTATTACCAACGTGATCATCATTGGCATCCTTCAGTCTCAAAAGACTATGGTATCGTGCTCTGAAAAGAGGTCCTAAAACAGCATCTAGTGTGACTAAAAAGGCCAATTCGATAGTAGCAATCCCTTCCACACTGAGGGCAGATACATTCTGTCCCCTGCCCAGCCCCCAGATTTCGCTGGTGAACGGCACAAAAAACAAAGATAGGCTACAAATATAATATAAAATATCCCAAATATCTTTCTCTGTTTATTATCATCTCACAGGGTTGTTATGGGGAAAATAGGAGGATGGCATAATAGGCATATTTGCCACCTTGAGTTATTTATAAAACTAATAAAGACAAGAAAAATAAAATAAAATGTCATTGCAATGCATTGGCATTTATCTTCAAAATCAAATAGCATTAAAAATGATTTGAAATATTTATACTCTAGTTAGTTCATAATAATAATAAAAATAAAATCCAAACTAAGAAAAATGTTATTTATTTATTTTTTTGCTAATTTATAGATTCGTTGTTAATAGCCTAATTTTGTAGTGCTCCTTGAGTTTATTTTGAAAAACAGCTAGGAAATTATACAAAATACATGCACGTATATGTTCCACGGTATTCAGTGATGATTTATATTTAGGTGTTTGTAGAAATGTTGCCTCAATTAGCCTTAAGTCCTAAGTACCCTTGCAAGTGAGTATGGATAGCTCTGCAGACTAAGGACTGTAATTTAACATCAGCTGTCTGCAATTAAAGTAAGTTCGAATCTTGCCAGGCTCAAGGTTGACTTAGCCTTCCATCCTTTCTAAGATAGGTAAATTGAGGACCCAGTTTGTGGGGGCAATAAGCTGACTTTGTATAAAATATATAAAAGTATGAAGGCTATTGCTTAACGCACTGTAAGCCGCTCTGAGTCTCTGGAGAAGGCTGGCATATAAATCAAATTTAAAAAAAAATCCTATTGAATTGAGAGGGTCTTAATTTTTTTTGCATTCATGTTAGATTTTAATAGAATTAACACAGACTGTATATTTTACAGATCATGAGGGCTTGAATCTGCTGCTAACAATCTTTAAATTGCTCACGTGTAGCAATTATGCTTTTAAGAAAATGTTCATCAATGTCATGATGTTGCAGCTGGAAAAAGAAGCCTTGGTTTTTAGCCTGTGACTTCCTCAAAGTCACAGGCTAATAATTTGTTTTTTAAAAACATTAAAAAACGTTTCCTGCTATAGGCTATGTAGCTCCCTTTGTGTAATTTGGATTCATTACATATCAAGCTTAGACATGTCGAGGCCTAACTAAACATAGATTTGAGATGGTTAAATTTTTTTGGATGCTCCCTATTTCAGAGCTGCCTATATTTTATATTAACTCAGGTCAGGTCTGCTTCACAAATTCATAGACCACATTCAAAAGCTCATGTGAACCTTTGAAACTGACCCTGTCAACTACATCCACTGAGAAATTTTTACATAGCTAATACTCTTTCCTCCTCCAATTTTCCCCACAACAACAATCTGTGAAGAGAGTTGGGTTGACAGACAGTGACTGGCCCAAAGCTGCCCAGCTGTTTTTCATGCCCAAAGGACTAGTTTGCTGTTCCTAAACATCAAAGTCACTTAATTCTATAATTATCAGAACTGCATGTATGAAAATATTGTATAAAACCTCAAAGCCTTCAAAAAGAGTAAATAGAGGAAAATATGTAAATATCTCTTCAAAAACATGCTATACATTCTCCCTCAAAATATACCGGTATGTTTTTTCATAGGTTGCTTGAACATCGGCAGTTACCTCATGGGAGCACATATTTCAGTTTTTACCCAACTGCCAAATCAAGGCTGGGTTTCAAAATCTGTCGCTACTGGTTTGCTTGTGGGTGTGTGCGTGCTTGCGCATATATGATGTTTCTGGGCATGCGCAAAAGCTTCTGCACATGTGCAGAAGCATCCAA